CATGCTGAAGAAATTTGATGCATACAGTGTTGCCTGCCTAGCAGAGGCCCCAAAATGCAAGTGGACTTTTTAGATAACATGGACAAAGAAGTAGGATTCAAAGTAAGGCAGTAGGAGAAGGATTCTGACTGTGCTCCAAGCAGTAATTAGATGTCCCAGCAAACTTAATCATACATTAAGAGAAGAGGAATTAAGAGCTACTTACTCAAGGATAAACAGAGGAAAAAATAGTAGTCATCCAGAAGACTGTGATCTTACTGCCAGAAAGCAGTCTTCACACTCAGCAATGGCTTATGTACAGCCAGTTCTTTAAGTGAGCTTCACCAGAGCAATACAATATAACGCTACGTACCTATGTGTAGAGAGACTGTTAGTATTTTACTCTCCCCATGCCTTTTGCAGTAAGAGGTAGAACCTAGATCACTGAAGCCAGGTGTTAGACCAAACTACAGATTCCGTCAAAGATGAACAATGTCAACAAGCATGTGAGGCACAATGGAGCTGGGCTGGCAGATTGCGCTTTTATGGCAGTTATAGCCAGTTCTGTGTGATCATAGACCCTAGCAGTAGCCTGCATGGGTGTCTAGCACATAGGTATACCTCTTGAAAAGTGAGGTCAATGAGCACACATGGCCCTCAGTCTCTTAGCAGTCTTTTAGGAGATCTTGAAAAAGAAATTGAGGAGAAAATTTTCAAGGTTCTAGATTATTTCGCAAGTACCATTTCTCAAAATTTAAGTCTTCAGTCACTGACTTGCAGTGAATCAAATATGTGAATACGTTCATTACTTCTTAAGATGGGATCTGCAAATGAACATTGAGAGAATAACAGAATCCATTGAACAAATTAGAATTTGTACCAGAAAATGATCTGCTAACCCAAGAAAAACAGAGAAGCAGTATGAAACTGGTCAACCTGAGTGTTGACATCATTTCTGCATCTGGTGTTTTGGAGCACACTCTCTCTCAGCTTTCTTGAATCACATCCTTAGAGACAAATAGATATGTTTATACTTAAGTGACCTATCTAGGAAGCAGAGAAGAAAAGCCAAGCTAAACTAAACCCAGAAAAATATGAAATATTCAAACTGTAGAAAGTAGCTATGGCTTGCAGGATTTCAGCATGACTAACAACAAATCCATTTAGTAAGGCTAATTACATTGTAATGTGCCCTCGTGCTGAACAGAACATGTAGGTTTGGAAATCCTTCTCTTAATGATGCCATATCAGGGATAGCAAGGTACTTTGCCATCAGTAGCAGCCCTACCTGGTTTCACATGCAGCATCCGGCAGCTTGCCAGTCCCTTGTCTCCACACCGCTACAGAACTGCCTCTACCCACCTGCTGTAGGGCCATGAAGCCCACCCTTTGCTCTACTTCAGCATCCTAAGCCAAAAGGGCTCTGGGGAGCAAAGGTGGCTCATTCATGCACAGGGCAGGGCCTGTTGTGCACATAGACCTCTACATGAAGTCAATGGAGACTTTTTGAAATAAAACTGGAACTGTAATCAAGTTCTTTTGGAAGTTATTAAGAATTACATACCAGAACCCACTAAACAGCCAAATCTTACAGCATTTAAATCCTAAGTACAGGAACTACTATAGTATGAACGTTAGAAGTAACAGTACATTTTAAAGGCTCAGTAGGTATGATATAAGCATACATTACAAAAGAGCTTATCTAGCAAATTCTAGCCTTGATAAACTAATATTTTACTGGAAAAACTAGCAATGGCTCCCCAGCCATGCACTTACAAGACACTTCTCTAAAATACAACACCATAACATAAAAATACTTTAAAGGAAACCAACTATTCTCACCAGAAGAAAGTGTACCATCCTAAAAGATAAACGCATTGGATTAAGCCTCATGAAAAGGCCAGATTAAGCAGGATAGCACAGGCAAACTGCACTTATGTCCTAGACTTTTTACCCGTAAAACCAAAGATGAAATAATGGGAATAGTAAACAAGCTAGAAATTGCTATTTAAACTCATGGTTAGGAGTTTACATGATAGAGTTATATGCCTATTTTTATAGGTATCCTATCTTTATAGATATGAACTGTTCTTTCTTCAGCTAAACTTTTCCACATGTAAAATATTTTGATCAAGTATCATAACTCTTTTCTTTAAATTATCTTGAGCAAGCTTCATAGTGGGGCTTTTCTCTGCAGATATTCTATTTTTAATAGTGTCAAACTTACAGAAAAATAGTGATGTCTAATTAAAATACATGCTATCAACGAAAACTTTAAATTTGAGCCAATTGAAACCCATGCAGTAGAACTGGTAGTGAAAACTGCCAAAAGATTACTACTCATGTTTATTTTATGTTGAGAAAACTAAGGGGGAGAGGTGGGGAAGAGATCCCACCTCGTACAGACTACCAAATCACTGCATGCTGCTCTGTTTATTTTCATGGGCTACTTATGACCTCGGTGACAGACTTAGCTTATGTGGATATACATCCGTAAGGCTACCAGTCCTGTGGTTATGTACTTCAGTAACACAGGTCCCGCTAGCTCAGGCACAAAGCTATTTTCTGAAATTTTAGTAGAGGTGCTTAAGACTTCTGACCAACTCCACCAGTGCAGTTTCCCAGTTGTACACAGCTGTGCAAGCCAAGCAAGAGGGGTGGAATAAGGCTCTACGGATGGGAAAAGTGCAGGAAATTCTTAAAACTTCATTTTCCACACACACATACAAAACCTAAGAACTAGATATAAGGTGACATACCTTAGACTGTCTTTTGTTTTTGTTGTGGCTTTGTTTGTAGTTGGTTTTGTTTTTGTTTAAACAGAACCTGAAACAAGACCCCATGTTCTCTGTTACAGAGAATTCATTCCTATCCCTCCTACATGTTGTTATTCCCATCTTTACAGCACAGAGAGATTGTACTGCTACAAGTATCCCAGTTTAGAGAATGGTTTCACAATGTAATCCAGATATTTAGAAAAAGCTCCTCTCTTGATCATGGAGCCGACAAACTTCAGAACAGGTTGGAAGCCCTTTTTGTTCCTTTCATCCTCAAAGCAACAGTTCACAGCACATCGTTAACCTGATGTTCCTTCTTCTAGATTTCATCTGAAGATGACCTTGGATGAACCCCAAAGCTTGCCTGTTTTATTGGCTTCTCCCTGTCAGTGCTCTCGATTGTTCTAATGAAAGGAGAAGGGGAAAAATATACACCTCCCTCCAAACTACAGCTCACATAGGAGGCCTTTGAAGGGATTTAAGAGAGCATTGCACACCACTAGCAAATAGTTACTGTTAGTGAAAATTAGCAGTAATGACTCTACATTACAACAGGCATTGATCCTTTACTAAATAACACCAGGGACTGCCTGGAAAGTTTGCAATTTATATTAATATATCTTTAACCACTTAAAACACTTCTAATATAGGCCCAGATTCTTTCTGACATAGCCACCCATAGCACTTAAATAACTTAGGATACGAAATGCCACCGTAAGTTCACAGAGTGAATAAGTTTTCTAGCAATAGTCAGGTCACCAAAACCATTTACTTAGGAGTCAGCAAGTTCCCTCATAAGGTGAGCTGGTGACTCTCATCTAGAAGCATTGGAATAGTTACTTGAATAGTTTTCTGTGTCACTGAATGTTTTGTGATTGTCCACTACAGATGGTAAAAACTCTTCCAGGCTGCTCTCATCGCACTGGGGAACCTCCACAGAAGAGGGCAGCCAGTGACCTCATCTCAGCCTTGTACCATAGACAACACAGAAGAATAAATTAATCCCCTACTGTAGAGCAGATTTATGGAAACCCCAACATACCTGTTGTATTTAATTCCTGGTAGAATTAATCTGAGCACAACATCCTTGCAGACTGGCTGCCAGGGGCTTAGCATACTTTGTATTAAGCTCTACTTGTGTTTCCTGCAGCACATACTGAGCTCTTATCTCCCTTGGATTCTCTAGGGACAGACTCCTGGAACAGCTCCTAAAGCTGGTGCGTCACCACTAATATCACTTGTTTTCTTTTAATAGGTGTGGAGACAGCCACAGGGGATCCATAATTCTGTGCCTGACTCCAGCATTGTCTCTTTTGCATGTGTAGCTTGTGTTGCCAAAAATGATAGCAAGAGATCAATCCCACTCCAGTACTAGCCAACATACAGATAATTTCATACTCATTGCCAGCCCTGAGTGGACAGAAGCTTTTGTCAGTCCTCTTCATTTTGTCAGAAATAATTTTACACAGAAGAAAAGCCCCAGTTTCCCCAAGACTACATAGGAAAAGAGCTGAATTAAACTGAAGAAATTAAATCAACCTGTTGGTGCACAGCTCATTTCATGAAAGTGCAGCTCATTGGAAGTGTTTCTCACAGAGGCCAGTTTTCGAGAGCTGAGCTCTGATGGGCATCAACTGAGAATTCTGGCTAACCAAAGGCACAGAGGTAGCTTCCACTTGCCTTGCACAGTCTGAGAAGTGTTTAACAGTGTTGAGAAAAAAGCAAAAACAAAATTCAAGATACTGCCAGAAAAAGCAACACTTATCTACAGATGCTTTACTGAAGTTCAGAAGTAGCAACCTAATGTGATATTTTATCTTAGTCAGGAGAGAACAGTCTCAGTGCACCCTGTAGTCTTTCTAAAGCTGGTAGCTTTCTAAAGCTAGTTCTCCTCTTCAACAAGGAGAACCTTACTTAAATGGAAGGTGACACTGCTGCACAACTGCACAGCCCTGCATTTCAAACTACAGCTCAAACCACACTGAAAGTCAGCATTAACCAAAGAATATCCCCTTTCTTTCCCAAGAATGAGACTTTTGTAGCAACTAGTGTTGTTATTCATCCTATGACTATCACAGCACAGTCTTAGAGGTACACATACACACTCTGTAATTTATTTGTTCACTCCTAAGCAGCAAAGTTCCCCCACATAAAGAGCTACAGAAGAAAAACTTCCAGTAGTGATAGAGAAGCAGCACGAGGTACATGCAAGAGCTATATCCATAGAGCTATACTAAGACTTACTCTTTTAAATTATATTCTGCAGGGGTAAGTACTCACAGCCCACACCAAGATCTTCCTTACCAGACGTTTAACTAATGAGCAGGTTGTCTAGCAATTTATCACCTGCTAGCAATTTATCACCTGGCCACCATCCCCAGCTCATCAGCACATACATAAGGAAGCACAAAATAGAGGTGACTGCAAAACCTTTTGAAAGGTCAGTCCTTTGGATAAGAGGCTTCCTGAGACAAATAACTTAACATCTAGGAGGGACAGCTGGAGTCACAGCTGTAGCTGTTGAATGAAAAACAACTTCCAACTCATGCCATTTAGGAAAAATCACAATCCTCGGAAGTGTTTTATGCATGTACAGCACTACTTACTCCAATAAAAGCTTATGCGTATATATTTACTTAATCTGAGCTCAGTTGTAATTTTTAGATTGCTCTAATATCAACAAATATATTTGATGACATTTCTTTGGGATTTGCAATCCGGAAGTATAAGTCCTTTGTAGACAACCCTTATGGCACCTTTGTTTCTAATAAGATAAAAAATCTGTAGATGTATCCAGTATGGAAAATATAGTGGTACTACAGATGAGAGAAATTGTTAAGAAGTCTTTTATCTGTCTGAAAAACAACGTTCATCAAGCATAAAACATTTTAGTGCTGATTCATAGGTCATACACAGTGTGCGTGCCTGAATGCACGTCGCTGCCACAAAAGGCTTGTGACAAACCCTAAAACTTTTTGCTAACTGAGATTACAGTTTCTGAGCAGTATTAGCAGGATCTTGCCGTGGGAAGGCTGCTCATTCCCATGTTGCCCTTCTCCATTCCTTGTCCCCCTGCCTCGAGGATGGCTGTCAGACAGCCTGCCCCTAACGCAAACGCACATTGTCCGAAACTGCTGCTAAACATGAGAAATAGCTTTCCCTTCCTTCCACTGGACATTTTATAGCCCTCTAGCTAAAGCACCCTGCGGAACAGATTATTCCAGTTGAAACCCATGTCCCAACTCCTCCACCCCAGTTTTTCTGCCTTCCCTTAGGCTTGAAAATATAATAACCATACAACAGATGTAGCCTGGCTTCTTGATTGTAACAGCTACAAAAACAGCTAATTATTAGCAATTCTCATTTTCTGAAAGGAGGAAATCAAAATGCAATGACATTCTAAGAAATGGTTATCCAAGAAAACTTTCTGGGTCTGTCTTGGCACCCATAGTGCCCTGCTTGTGTCCAACTTAAGCAATTGTAAAGAATTTCTGAAGTAGACTCAGCGAGACATCTGCGTTATGTTTGCAGCTGGCTTACTGTCAGCATGGCCAGAGCAGATAGAAGAATTTGTGTATCTGACCTATACTTGTTGATACCAGCTTTCTGTCTTGGAAGCTGCCTTGGTACACTTTCCAACCCCTGTTTGGGTGCTTATATCACCACTTAGTGCACGTTCCTAAAAGGTGCCATGCCACAAATTTGCAGAGGACTTCCATAATTACTCCTAAAAAGTACTTTTTCGGAGAGTTGATGGGACAGCTTGCACAAGTTATTGGGCCAGGTGTAATTCCCATCCATCCTAGAAAGACAGTGCCAGCTTTGGGATAACAGAGGCTCCCACATGGGGCAGAGTATGACCATGGCACAGCCAGAGGCCATGCTGCCGTGCTGCTCCCACCCGCTGCTTTGATTCCCTGTCATATATCACTGCTCACCAGGCCCACATAAACCAAGGCACATTCTGTGCCTAATTTTAACTGCAGTGCAGGGGATGTAGGTGTCTAAATACTGCTAGCTCTTAGTCATCTGAAAAGACTTAACTCCCCCAGGCAGGCTTGCTCAAGGACAGCACAAAATAATGTTCAGAGTAGTAGGTAAGGTGGGATGCTGTCAGCTCATCTCTTATAAAAGCTCCACAAAAATATTCAGACTATTCAGCCACCCCCGCTGGCTCAAATTGTGAGTTTCTCCCACGCCACATAGCCTTCAGATGTGTTTAAATACAAGAACTCCTTTTACCTGAGGATACTGTTGCTTCTCATTCTCTAGATGAAAAGCACGGGTCTGCACTGTGCAGCAGGAAAAAACATGTCAGGTAATGGTCTGGCCATGTTAAGGAGAGCAAGTTAAAAACGGTCTTAGGTCTGACTCCACCTTTCCTTCAGATCTGCATCAATGGCATTTAGGTATGTTGAGTGGCATTGCTCCAGGTTTATGATACTGTAAGCCCAAGTAGTATTAATATCCAGAAAGACTATTAATATTTCCCATATCTAATTATTAAATAGCATCCAACATTTTTTAAATTCAAAGATAATTAAAGTACAGTTTTCACATTTGTGCCTCTTCCTCAGGCAGGGTGGTAAAAACAGATTGCTCACTTCTGTATTTCATAGGAATCTATTTCCTGCCAGTTTCATATTTGGAATCCTATATAGAAACCTTTGCATTGTTAAGATACTGGTCATATGTTTAATTTAATTCATCCAGTCAAATTTAGAAAAGGGAAATAGAAGGGGTCTGATATTGGCTTTTATTAGGGCTATTAGCACCATAGAATGGGTCTGTTTCTGCTTATCTTGGCTTTTACTAAGTTTGTCCCCAGGAAATCCACATTCTGGGACAAATTTGACCTTACATGTTAAATACCACAATCTCTTTTAAAACACAGAAACAAAATACAGACTCATACTAAAAAAGAAATGCATGTATTTCACTTTAATTTATATATATACTATATATATATATATATATATAACATTCAGCAATGTTTGTTTTGGAAAGCTGTGCTCTAATGCTTAACACATCCACAGAAGCACCTACAGAAGGCAGGCAGAGCAGGGTGCTCCACTAGTGCTAGGATCTGTAACACTGCATATTAGAAGTTCAGATGAAAGAATTTTCTGAGTAATTCAAACGCTGAGCAAATGAAATTAGCAGTTTAGATACATTTACAGAAACAAAAGACTGGTGATTACAAAGTGGGAATGAGTTTGTGTTGTGTTTACAACTGCTTTCTGAAAGACAGAATGAAATAATAAGAAGAAACTATCAGCTTTTAAGATTTTTGTTTTTGTTGTTGTTGTTGTGGTTTTGTTGGCAGTGGCTATTTTCTCATGGCTGAAGAATATGAAATATTTCTGTACTTTTTCAGTGGTGTGATTTAATGAGATGACTGGTGGTACCTCCATGCTGGAACAACAGCTGGGAATAGTCATGTAATGTTTCTGGAGGCTTTCTGTGTCTATCAGCTATCAGTCACCTTTCTTTTAATTAGATTCAGATGCAGTTTCTAAATACATGGTGAAATGTCAGCAGTCACACACTCCGAAGTAAAGCTTCCTCAAACCTCAGGTAGAATTTGATTGGTTTCATTGCTGCAGTCCACTGACCTTTGAAGAGAGAGAATCTCACAGCCAAAAGGCCTTACACCTACAACTAAATCCTGCTTTACTTGGGATCAGTCTCACTGAAGTACAATTAACTGTGGTCATGAGGAAAGGATTCATCTAGCCCTAGGCAGTTGTCCAGACCCCTGGGAAATCAGTAATAAAAGGTAGATGGAGATGGTGATTCACCTGTCTTGGGGTGGGCTGTGTGCCCTCTGGGCTAATGATTACTGGCAGAGCTAAGTGACTAGAGCCATTACTTTCAGATGGTTAACATTAAGTAAGGATGAACCCTACCCTTAGCTTCTACAATTATGCAGGCTTTTCACTATAGTGAACAGAAGAAAATCCATAAAACTTCATATATATTGACCTTCAGTTGAAGGTCCATCTAGCCCATACACTCATTCCCATTGAGGCCAAAAGCAGATGCCTAGGGAGTATGCATATGTGAAAACTCACTCTAAGACTGTCTCTGCTTCCAAGTATTGTCAGGATAGGGACTTCCTGAAGATCTTGTGGTTTCCATGTATTGAGTACTCTCAGGGGATTATTCTTCCATTCAATGCTCCTGTCTTTGAACCCACATAATGCTTTAGCACCCACACCATCCTTTGGCAAGGAGATCGGCAGGTCAGCTGCCTCAGATGTTTTGCTTGGAGCCCTGCTACTCCATTAGTTTCATCTGATGCTTCCCACCTCATACTGGAAGAGAGTGAAAAAAATCAATCTCCATTAATACTCTCTGTGCCACTCTAGAGTTTTTGTAAATCCATCACCTCTTCCTCCATTATCTCTTTTCCAGCTTAAAAAGGCCTAGCTTAGTCATCCTTCACACAGAGCCATTCTGTGCCTGCAATATTTATTGTTGCCCTTCTCTGAACTTTTCCCTGCTGCCTTATATATTTCATGTGGTGAGGGGATGAAGAACTTATAAGGTCATTAGAACTGAAAAACTCACACCTTACATCCAAAATTCATACTGATGCTACTTGTTCAGGCTCAAAACACCTGTCAGCCTAGTGATAAGCAGGCTGTAGGGTATAATTCAAGAGCTTGAGCAGCAGGGTTACAGTGACTGGAGCCTCTGAAATAACTTTTACAGCAGTGAGTTCAGCCAGGTCTTCTCATCTCATCCTTTTCTGCTGTAGCTGACACATATGAGAGATTGCAAGTCCCACGCCAGTATGGCAGAGTCATTGTAGTACACACCAATGGGGAGACCCCTGGAGCATGGGCCTTCCTGAGATACAGAGCACTGCAAGGCTCTCTTTACCTTCATCACATTTCTCCTGGACCTGTTCAGTGCCAGAGCTGAAACATCAGAAGTCTGGAGAAAGGGCTGAATTTCAAGGTTCTTCCATTAAAACGCACCTCCCATGTGCCAAGTGGAAGAAATGCAAAATGAAATGAAATGAAATGCAAAATGAAGAGCTCTTTCTTTAGGATCCCTGCCTGTGGCTGTTCATGCTGAGTTTTACCTACTAGGTTTCATCACTTAACTCTGGAAGCAAGCATGCCTTATAAATAATCAACATGCAGAGGTTCATTTGAGTGGCATGCTCCTTGACTTAATGGTGGATGTGAATATGATAGGCCTGGTGGGCCTGTGCAAGTCCAGGTCCATCTCGGTGTGCTGGAGTCCCTGCCAGTGTGACACAAGGTTGGTCTGTACCTGCCTGACTACAGACCAGTAGCTGAAGA